GCTGCGATCGTAAAATCTTTCGGAAACGAAAAATATTTTATGCTGTTTCCGTCAAGCAATTTTGTTTTTCGATAATAATTGTCACAACCTTTCACGGAACAGGACATTGCATACTTAATGTCCACAATCACGTTTCTCCGGATCTAAACGACAAGCACCAGGGCCATATTTAATTGTGGTCCAATGGGTCCAATCAGATTCTAGCCGAGTGTGACGTCACACTTTGACTGCGCAGTGGGTGTCCACGGGATGAGCATACCCTTGTATTTATACCATGTGCGCCAGTACCTTTTCGTAAAGGTAGCAGAAATCCTTACGCACTAGGATAAAAGGCGAGTCTGTGAGATACTTGGTTCTAATATTTTTTGTATACCTCCGAGACATTATACAGTGCAGAGATGGCAAAATGCAAAATATTGGAATAGTATCGAAACATAATTTTGAATTTATTGCGAATTCTTATGAAAAGAACTTTTTTTATATTTGAAGACTCAGAATTGGTGACATAAAAATGAATTTCTTTTAAACTCTTAAGAATCATTTTAGAACAAAGAATAAATACGGAAAAACAATTAATTTCCTAAATCGAGAATTTAAAAAAAATTCTTTTTTTCTTACTATTTGGGTTGTATATAACATATCTGCTTTTAAATGAGGCATAGATATCCGATATATATGCAGAATCAGATATCATATCTGAGATAAAATTATCATGGTTTTTTATAATCTTGGAGATGTCTCTGAGATATTCTCATGATATCTTGCGCAATCAGATATTCCGTCATTCAGATATCTTCTAGATATCTTGGTGATATTGTTGCGCCCGTGCCGAGACATTCGTACTTTGTGGGCTGAAATTGGCTCCGCTCCGCAGAAGTTTCAAGCCGAAGCGCGTCTCTTGACAACGGGGACGCATAGAATTATTGATTTAATTACCGCCTGTCAGATTGATCTGGTGACTCGTTTCGTTTGGACCGGTTTCCCAGAACTCTTTACTGTATTCCGTTCTGAGCCTGAATAAATCCGAGTTCTTTTATAATAACGAGAGTGGTTATTTTTGCGATCCCGGGAGTACGCGGACGCGTTCGCGAGTGCGCGCGACTCAAAGAGCGAACGGAGCGTAACAATATATTTTACAAATAACGAAATATATTTTACTGTGTGGGATATACTATAATACATATATAATTTCTCTTTCTTGATAAGTCTACTTTAATATGCAAAAAATCCTATTACTTACAAAAATTATATATTTTTAATTAAAAAACAGCGATGACTTTCATATAACTTCAAAAAAATTAATGAATATCCATTTATGTGCATTTTATGTCCATAGACGTTATATGGATATTCATAGAAAATCGGTGTTGTCTGGGATATAACGCGTATTTTCAAGAATAGTAGCTTATAATACTTTAAATGTCTCAATCTGTATTAACATATGACAAGAAACAATTTTATATAATTTCTCGTTTATGGCATAATAATTCAATATGACTAAAAAAGCATGAAATCTCTACTACCCGTTCTCTCTCCCTCCCTCCTTTGTTTTCACCTCTCTGTCTTCCCCTTCCCACTCCCCCCTTTCTCTCTTTTCCTTTCTCGCCTGTGCCTACTTAATTTTCTTCACCCTTTTGAACTACCGTCGACCATTTTTCTTTTTTCTTTCCAATCCTCTCTTTTCCAAATCTTATTTTTCGTCTTCTGCATAATGTTATCAAGTTATATATTTTTAATTAACATGACATCATAAAAATGTATATATATATATTAGTAAATTATAAATTTCTTGTGTTTAGGTACCGTCATTCCTTGATAGTGATGCAGATATTGACAAAACTGTGCGAACTTGCGTAGATTATCTGCTGAATCTACAAACAACGACTGGCAATTTTCCATGCTCAATGGATGAAGTAGATCGTTCTGGACGAAGCCTCAGAGATAGTGACGACGAGTTGATACATTGGTGTCACGGTGCTTCTGGCATTATCTATATGATGGCGGCAGCGTATTTGCGCTGGAAAGATCAGCGTTACCTGGATTCGTGCAAACGCGCTGGCGATCTCGTTTGGCGCAAAGGCCTTCTTCGTAAAGGACCTGGGATTTGTCATGGCGTGGCGGGCAATGGCTATGTTTTTCTCCTTCTATACAGGCTTACCGGTGATGAGCGTTATCTTTATCGTGCCGCTAAATTTGCAGATTTTATGAATTTGCCACAGTTTCAAACTGATGCACGCATTCCCGACTCGCCATACTCACTTTATGAGGGCATTGCCGGTACCGCCTGCTTTCTCGCTGATCTTATTGAACCAGACAAAGCCCATTTTCCTTTCCAAGATGTATTCTAAGATTCGAATAGTAAAAAAACAATCTCTGTCTTTATTACGTTAAGCATACTACTTTATAAATAACAAATTGAAAATAAATTATGTGAAATTATATATTATAATATTTTTACAGATCTCTTTAAAATTAGTTTTAAACTTTTGAGATCTGTTTGTTTCTGTGATTAGTATTGTGACAATGAAATGATTAGATACCGAAACGATTGTGAAAGAAAATTATATATGTAATTAATTTTTAGAGGATTTCTTCTTAATCCTTAATTTATGTATTTTATTATTTTGTTTTGCATTTTGTGGCAAATTATTCTTAAGATCGACATGATACAAGAATCAGTTATATTTAATGCTAAAAATTAGTCAAAATATACAGTGCTGAAATCTATTTTTTATTTTTTTGTATCTCATTTCAAATTTTCTGCGTACTATACGTCAGGAATTCATGGTTTTGTTTTAATATAAGAATTTTCTATGTTTATTTATCATTAACCCTCCATTGCTTTCGTATGAGGCGCAAACGCTCAGTATACATTTTATTTTTTTAATTGCATAAATGTAGTAAAAGTGTTGGTGCACATTCTGTTAAATGTTAATCAATATTTAACAATTTAATTGTTGTTGCATTGTTTTTAATATTTGCTAGTTAATATATCATTACACGATTTTTGAATACTGTTACGCTCGTCGAGTAAGCTCGCCGCCGTAACACTATCGCGCACTCCACACTCGCGCACGTATTTCGCGGAACTCGCAAAAGGAAAGAGAACTCAAAAGAACTTAAGAAATGCGTTTATTGCAAGCTCGTAAAACAGAACGCGTGCGGATTCCAAAAATCTGCCAGACAGAAAATCAATAAATCTCTCAACAAACTTTCGTTGTCAAGGAGCGCGCTTCACAGCTTTCCGCGACTTCTCTACTCAGTGTCCAGCACTGGCGTAACAATACTATAAAGATGTGTTATATAACAAGTATAAGCAAGAAGGAAGTGTCAGAGGATCACCATTAGCCCGTTCAATTATCGAGCAGTGTTTTCTGAATGTTGAAACAACGTCTACAAGACATTGCAATTTAGCGGACATTAGACGCAGTGATGTTAGATTCAAGCCCCGAGCCACGGGCTGTGTGCACAGATACGTGCTTTCTCTTGTGTGAGTGTCCCCCATTAGCCGACTTTCGAGTGACTCGGAGCTTAAATCTACCATCACTGATTAGACGTTTTTAAAGGTTGAATCTACATTTCGCAACGTTGATGCAATATTGCAAATGTTGCAATGCAATGTTTTTGAGATTGTTCGGATTAACACCGAGGTGTGGATCTGGTTCCGCGTCGGCTTACCTTTCGGAAGGTTATCTGAAAGAACGGGTTATGGATACCTGAAAGAAACTCTCAGTCAAGTCTATAGAACTAAAACTCGATACCTAATTATATTCATATTTCATCACATATATATATACATAGTTCAATTATTCACGTATAATGTCGTCAAATAAAACTTCAACTTTCTTCCTCGTTATAAAGGGGTATGATGCGTAAATGATTTACAATTAGGGAGAAAATAGCAAACGGACTTAAACGGGTAATAAGTCAAATCCAAAACGGAAACAAAGCTAGCACGGGTTGTATCATTGAAAGAAACCACACTTTCGCATGCAGAAAAGAAATAGTTACTTAAGTGCAACGGACTGGACTAATTTGATTTATGGCAATAGACGTTAACACAAATAGTGGTAAGACACCCAAATGAATAAGCATAAGTAAAATTAACGTGAATACGAATTACACTGTAATGCAGTAAACGTAAACATCCCAGATAGCAATGCCTGATGATCAGATTTCATCACGTCATGATCTTTTGATATTGATCGAAATGTGATGTATGTCTTGTGATCATAATGTGATTATACACATCATGAGTACAAGTTAACATGTATATGAGGAAATATATGAGCTCAGATATTGACGTTACTTAGCCAACTCATGATAATCACATGCTGACCCTGATGGAAATAATTTTACAACAATTACCGCGAGCGCTAGTACCGCACGCTGCCGCGACGCGGCTATACCACGCGTCACTTTCTCGTAATCAAAAATCATCACGCACTAGTATAAGAGGCGAGCTTGTGAGAAGCCTAATTACAATGTTCTTTGCTGCAGATCAGCTTGTGATACCTTTGGTAATTTTTGATAAATTATTGGATATGTCTTACTTATTTATTTACATGTTTTTAAATAATTTTATTAAGTATGAAATATTTAAAATTGTTGTCATTTCTTGAGCTTTATATGCACATAATATGCAGTATTTTATTGAACATTTATGTGTTCATTATGTCACTATTTTGTAAACTTTTATAGATTTCATAACATGTCTGCATTCTGAGGAACATATGAGCCCGCATCTGTGTCTATTCTTGCCATCATGTTTTTAATAAACGTGAGTACAATATGTACTCAGAACGAACACATTTTGCTATCTGGGATAAACGTCATAAGTATAATAATGCGGATCACTCTTATGGAGAAAGTGATCGAGGTTAGGAAAGGATCTGTCACCTTATGCTAACGCAGTAGAACAAGAGTCAAATTATGACTCTGTCACGGAGAGCCGGAGGAATCTCTCCCCTCTAACCGTACCTTAGTACAGGTAAGATATTCGCAATGGCACGTAGAAGGATGCCGCAAGTCGAGCACTGCCGTAATGGCGGGCAAGATTACTGCCGCCTTCCGCGTGACCCTCGGCCACTTTCTCGTAAATCTCTCGAAGCTGCCCTCAAATCTCGTACTCAACGTATTGGCAACGGCAAGGGTCATACCTTAATGGTCATCCGCGGGATGACCGTGTAAATGCCCTCGAATTCGTACACTACACACTCGAGAGACCGTCACGATGTCATATGCATGACACTGCAGCCGCTCCCTTGCGAGCAGCCGCAAGAGACGCCCTTATAAAAAAGTACACTCAATTTTGATGGTTAACACTCGAGTGTTAACACTAAACTTACGCCCAAATTTGAAAGTTAACACTCAAATTTGAGCGTAAGTTTAGTGTTTGTCATCAAAGTGAAGTGTCAACACTTAAATTTAGGTGTAGATCGAGTGTTGACCATTAAAGTTTAGGTAAGTTGTGGGTTTAATCCTCAATGATGAGTGTATATTGGGCTTGATATTGGGAGTTTATTCTCAATAATAAGTGTAGGTTGGGGATTAAGCCTCAATGTTTAGTGTAGGTTGGAGATTGATCCTCATCGTTGGATGTTGTTAACAGGGTGTTAACCTTTAATGTTCTATGTTGATTTAATCAGTGTCGCCATGATCCCTTTATCGTTGGGTGTCGTTTAAATGTTATTGTGTTAATCTTCGTTAAGTGTCAATTGACGGCTTGGTTTATTGGAAAAGTGTTTCAGATAAAAGTTGAAAGCAATTAAAGTAATTTAAATCGACCGTGACTGGCAATATATAACGTCTTTTCGATATGAACATTGAAAAACTGTGAGCCAACTTGGTTTGTCGGATTCACACAGCACTTTTTTCGGATCAATCATCGAGACATTA